AAGAACGTGATTGCGGATTCTCTGTCCGGCCACTTTGTCCCTCCCCGACAGAGTGGAAACTACATCCACAGGTGTTCCAGACCATCTGCTTTCCGTTGATGACTCCGACAGTGGATCTGTTCGCCACTTGTTTCAACCACCAGTTGCCTCTGTTCGTGTCTGTGATTCCGATCCCTCTGGCCTGGTGTCTCAACATTCTAGCCATTCCTTGGGACGACCTAAACGCGTACGCGTTTCCACCAGTGGCCCTGCTTCCACGCATACTACTGAACCTACGCACGACTCAGCAGATGACACTGCTTTTGGTCAGCTCCTATTGGCCGGCCAGAGGGTGGTTCGTCGATCTTCAAGAACTGGCAGATCCAGATCCAGTACCACTTCCTGAACGCAGTCGATCTTCTGGTGCACCTGCACTCCGATGAGCTGCATTGGTCTCCGCTCACACTTCATCTTCACGTTTGGCGCATCTCCATAAGTCGCTAACTGCAAAGGGATATTCTAAGCGTGTCGCTACTGCCATCACTACAGCGCATCGCTCATCTACTAGGTCACTCTATGATGACAAGTGGAAGAACTTTGAGGCGTACTATAGGACCAGAGGTATAGCTTCTTCCACTGCTGTTTCGCCGCAGTTGGTGACAGAATACCTCCAACATCTTCAAACGTCCAAGAAGCTTAAGGGTTCTACATTGTCTGCTTATCTGGCTGCTCTTAACACCGTTATTGCACCAGCCACAGGTGTGAAGGTGTCGACTGTTCCTGAGCTCCAGTCTCTCCACAGATCTTATAGACTTGCTGACCAATCCTGGAAGTTCCGACCACCATCTTGGGACCTTTCCGTTGTGCTTAATCATCTTACGTCAGCGGCTTACGAACCCTTGGAGGGAAAAGACTTTGAGCAGATCACTTTTAAAGGGCAAGTTTACATGAAAATTGACCTTTTAGTCTTGCACTTTTTTATCACAAAAGGTGTTTGTCAAGTAGTTTTATAGCCAAAACAGTACATGTATCAGAAGTAACTAATTTATTTTTTGCGTTAAAACGATTCAAATTTTCCAAATTAACCGAGAGTTCTATGTCCATAATAAACACACCATGGCTTATGTTCCTTGGAAATGAGGTCATTGGAGCCCGACTGATAAACGAATGACGTTGTTAGAACTTATTAGACCCATTTCACGTGGTGCAGGTATAGGTGTGGTTCTTGTGTCTTGATGCGCAGGCTATTGTTTTCATCCAGCTGTTGCCTGGCCGTCAGCTGGTCAGTTCCTCACTGTGATGACGTTGCAGTTTGAAATAACGTATACATTGTGCAAAAATTGTTACTACATAACCAAATTGTATAACATTCAACCTGAGTCGGTTGAACAACAGTATCTTGTTACACAAAAACTAAAACGTATATATGCACTACATCTTGCTTGCCATCAGCGAATGTGCTGGCATTCTACGTGTGCTACTTAATTCCTACATAAATCGTACGATATATATCCCTCCTCTTCCACCTTAACTTTGATATTGAAAGTACATATCCAAATACATCACGCAGATAAATGCAATTTGCAGTTTTAAACTCTGTTTGAAATTCGTTTTTATATGATAACATCCGCTCATTGTAGATCAAATATACTGAAAATTACATGCATCATAAATCCCACCAGTTTTGACACATTACTAAATCACCATTCACTGCATTTTGCGTAATTTATAGTATGTCTTAATTCAAATGTCAAATTTTACTGGGAGAATTGAATTTAAAAGAGAAAAACGTATCATTGTGATCAGCGGTAGTTTTGTTATGGTTGTTTGATCGAATCACTAATGCTCGTTCTGAAACATTGACGATGAACCAAGAATCGCTGAGAATGTTTTGGAAATATCAGCCATATTGCAGAGTGTTTTTATAAAATCACGTCACACGTATGTCAGTTATGTTTCGCCCATAAAATCAATTGTATAATTCAACACCATCTTCCTTACATGAATCCCTGAATTCCTCATACAATTTAAAATAAGGTGACAAATGGACTCTGTCACCAATACAAAGTGATTCAGTGAAATCTAACGAAATTTATAAGATGCCGAGCTGGGAAAGGACCGCTTGTTTGAAGTGTAAACAAAGCCAATCTCAGATTTTACACTGTGTATCCGTTCGCCTACCTGTTGCATACAATTGCTCATTAGTTTTAGAACATGCATGGGAAAGGTATCGTAGCAAGAGATAGTTAAATAGAATAGGTGTATTCCCATGATTTCCTAGATTCATCACAACATATTAGATTTATAGTTTCTGAAAGCGTGACGCCATGACTGACGCAAATTCACTCACACCGACGATGGTACTTCACATAATTTCTGACTATTTCCCTTGGTCACAATGAAAACAAAAAGAAAATAACAACTTGTAGACCGTCAGAATGTTTCGGACTACTTACATGTTACATTTATGCATATAGCTTGCTTGAAACAACGAAAGTTTCCTTCGAAAATCCAGCGTACTCGTGTCAGTGAACACGCCATTTTGAAAAAGTCGCTTCCTGATAGTGATGTCATACTGACGTCAACAATGTTATACATATTTGGTATTTTCATTGAGGTGAGGTTATGAATTAAAATACACACGATCAATCTGTCCAGCTACTTACATTTTCTGTTCTTATGCTTCTTTCGTATTTTCACAAACTTTTTCACGTGATTATTTTCAATATTAATATCTTTTGATTTGGGACTAGACAGGAGACCAGTCTAAAATCAAGTGGCACCAATTACGTCATAATCAAAGGGTGATAACTCTGGTCTGATTAGCCCGGCAAACAAAGGCCTGATAATGGCATAACATTTCAGCACTTATTTTGAGGGTTATACTTTCATTGTAAGAAAAATGAGTGTATATTTTCAAACATTGATATTAACTAATTGAAAAAATTCACTTTGATTCACATAAGAATATATGTGCACTTCCCTTTAAGACTTTCTTCCTCTTGGCTTTGGCCACTGCTGCGATGTCTTTACGCCCTCGATGTGCGATTTGAAAGGTCAAGACATGCTAAAGTCTTTCTTGGTATGCGGTGGGATTTCGTCACCAAGAACCAACTACCAGGACAGCCGGACCGCACGTTTACGATTCCACTGCTGTCCACTATCTTGAGTCCTGATGACACAGAAGATCTTTCTCTTTGCCCAGTTCAGTCATTGCGGATCTACTTAGCTGCCTCTTAGGACCGACGGAGCTTGAACAAGAGACTTTTCATCCCGTTGTCTGCTGCCTCTACCTCGGAAGTCTCGCGCACCACTTTGGCATTTTGATTGCGTGCCTATGCCTATGCCAACCTTCCTCCACCTTCGACAGCGAATCCTCATGAGACTCGGGGCCCTAGCTTCCACCATGGTGCTTCATAGGAACTGTTCCCTCCAGGCAATCATGGAGGGATGTTTTTGGAAGTCGGATACAGTTTTCGCCTCACACTATCTTCGGGATCTCTCGGTCACGGACGTGGAGGGCGTTCACCAGTTCGGTCCTCTGGTCCTAGCTCAGCAGCTGTCATCGATCTGTGCTCGCAGATGAAAAGCAGTCCTTCCGTGTGTCGGTTTTGTTTTCTGTACATTAATAAAAGATCTCGATGTCATCTTTATCTTTGTACCTTTTTTATCTTGGGCTTAGACCACCTCGCCTGGGGAACTAGGGCGTGGCTGCACTGTCATAGATATGACTTAATAGACTGAGAGACCAGTCTTGTGCTACATGCAGAGGTGGTCGACACTCCACTTACTGACCTCTACTCTCTGAGCAATTACGTCAGTGAAGTGTTGATTTCTGATTACTTGTGTGGTTTTCGAAGCGTTCTGCTCCTAAGTCCTTTCTTCCTTTGGTAAGTTAGGAAGATTGGTACTGAAAGTTAAACCAGTTGAGTAACCAAGTTATTCCCTCTTTCACCGCCTTCCAGCGTGTGTCTGTGGGGGGTAGTTTCAAAGCAGGGACTGTCCAGATTAAGGTCTTTGACTTTAATTCACTGGGGTCACTTGATAAATCGTGGGAAGGCGGGGTCCACTTGCCAATCTGCGTCCTTTTGCCTGTCAATAGTTGCGGCTGAAAACCACATTAATTGGACCGCCCACTCCCTAGGGGTTTTGTGTTGTGTAAGCTATGGGGTTATCAGAAGCAACCCATCACAAGTTCGGAGTTAGCATATCGGGAGTTGGTGCTTTCTCCTGGCCTCTTTGTGTTATGCGACCTCACGGTTGTAGAGATTGACAGGGTAATCTGCGGCCCTCCTGCCAACCGTGGGATAATGCATACTGTGAGATAGGATAAGTTAACAAATTTGGAAATTTTAACTATAAATTGTATATTTATATACTTATCCTATCTCATGTGATGGATACCCACCCAACCTGCCCCACATCACAGATTACTGGAAGCTCCCAAGACAAGAATGACAGGCACAGAGCATCACGTGATCATCTGAGCGATCTGCACGCTTATTGAGATGATTGACAGGTATTGTTATCGGAGTGGGGGGCAGAGTTCAGGAGGTTAGAGGTCAGGAAGTTTTGATTCAACTTAGCCTACAGCACGTTTCCACACATGATCATAGAAGAAGAAGAGAGGTTCGTACCGTGAGATAGGATAAGTATATAAATATACAATTTATAGTTAAAACTTCCAATTTGAAGTCATTTCCCAAATGAATGTATAGTTTATATGAAATAAGAACGAGCTGAAGTAGTTTCAGTCTCTTTTAATAACTGACAAGAAACTTGAAACCCAGACCATGTTTGTTTAAGAGGTAACAGGGGTGGATAACTCTAAATCAAGGTGAACAAATCTGGTACTTCCTGTATTGTGAGCTGCACATTTATCAACAGAAATCAATTACTAAACTATCGATAGTCACAGATACTATCGATGTATCGATAGTTTTTCAATTCTCCCATCGATTAATTGCAATCCATCGATAGTTTGATGCATTGTTACAGCCCTATTTATTTGTCTATTGCAGATTGAAGATTATATTTTACATGAAGACAAAGATGTGCCTTTGTTATTACTGGGGAGCCCAGGATGCGGCAAGTCGTCCATTTTGTGTAAGGCGGCCGATGTCATCCTCACCAAGGTTGAAAAAGGAGAGATTCACGGGTAGGCCAGTTATTTCCAATCTCTGCTGTGTATTTGTATCTAGTCTTTGACAGGTCTTCATGTTTTGTTGATGAAAGTGCATTAAAGTCAGGTATTACAACCACAAAGATACCACTCAGATCATCACTTTTGTTTATACACCATTCACCAAAATGAGAAATCAAAAGTGTTGTTTTTCATTGAAACATTTACCACTTTAGACATGTGAGAGACTCTGTAATCTGGTGATATACTTCTATCTAGATCTGCACTTCTTTCAGAACTTGCATTTTAGAAGTTTGGAAGTACAATAATGACAAATATGATATAATAAAAGAAGTTGTTATCAATAAATTTGTCATTATTAGTAGATCTGCATTGCTGGCAATGTATACTATATGAATCAGCTTTGATTATAAAGGTTTCTACCTTGGGGAGTGGGGAGAAGTGGGTGCATTATCAAGGTTGTATTCAAAACCTCAAAATGTGGTAGTTACATTAGTATGATGTCAGTTACCAGGTGCTTTATAATAAAAAGGGTGATGATCAGACATCACTGATTTTCTCATTGACAGTCCATGTTTTGTACAATGTAGTGTGATGATTATGAAGGAATGACCAGATTATGTGTAAAGATTCGAACAGGTAGATTTAGTTTGTTTTATTTAGTATTAGTTGTTGTTTTTTTATTACGTTTTTGCAAGCCATGATTTTTAACTGAAGAAGCAATAAGCATAATCAGCTGGATCCTAAGATGCAGGGTGCCTCTGTTGCAGGGAAGGGGGCAAGGCATGGCATGTGTTTTATCACTTTGTGGGGGCAGTGCCAGGCTCTACCTCGCTGGAACCCATGTTAAAGAGACTGCTGAGAGAAGTGGAGGCTGCCAAGGTGCGTTCAATGAACAACATAACCTTTGGTTTTGTCAATACTAAATTCTGCTTATTGTCTAGTCACAGGCTTGTTATTGTCAGAAGAACATTCAAATTTAGTTCATTTGATGAAGATGTTTTTCTTACACAGTTTAAGTAAATTAAATCTGATAAGTAAAATTAAATTAAGTGGGTAATAATCAATAAACTTAAACATGACATAATTTGGGATGGAAAGCAGCAGAATGTAAGTCCATAATCTGAAAGGCTTCATCTCAATTAAATCATCTAGATTTACGAAATTCGGGATTTACTAATCAATACTTGGTAAGTAGTAATGTCCTTGCAATTACATAAAGACATTTCTAACAGCTATTGTCAGGAAGTAGTCCGAATTAACTGAGTGCAAAGTTAACTAAACAAAGTTGAACTAAATGTGTCGAAGGGGTTTGTCAGTGTGAGTTGGTTGTTTCAGGACTCCAGTAACATGCCGAAGGACTTGGATGCCACAGCACAGATGTGTTGCAGTGTGTTGTCTAATCCCAACACAAGGCCTCTCATCATATTCATTGATGCAGTCAACCAGGTGGGTGAAAGTGAGGATTACGAGATTTGAGTGAGTGAGTGAGTGATGTGTAGTTAATGCAATATTGCAGTTAGTTCATGGTGTTTCATTTCACTGTAGCCGCCATATTTCTGGAATATTGCTGAGTGTGGCGTAAAACTAAACTAAACTAACTCATTTCACTGTAATAGGGAATCCCCAAAGGTTGCAGATGGTAGGTGTTTACCACTTCACTAAACCCACAATTATGGGTAGATGCTGACAACCCCAGAAACGTTGTCAGACCAAACTAGGTTTTGAACCCAAATTCAATCTGGTTTGCCTAAGGGACATAACTCTGCATAATGCATTCCAGTGATGACTTTGCCACTAATGTCTGAAACAGAATTTCTAAGGTCTGAAAGAAGGTGAACAATATATTCTACATGTATTATTATCTTCCTGAATCTTGTCTGATACTACTGTGGTAACCTGTTGTCAGTTTGTAACCTATAGTTGGTTCAATGTTCATTTCAGTTTGCTGAAGAGCAGGCAGCAAGAGTTTTGAGTTGGTTACCACGGAAACTGGCCCCCCAAGTTCGATGTATATTTTCAATGATAGACAATACAGATCATCATATGGCCTTGATGAGTAGGGAAACCAAGCCTATTGAGCTCCACATCAAACCCCTCGACCATGCCTCTCGCCAGGTAGGTTCAATGCTTGATAACTGCTGTATTCTGTACAGTACTTTTCACAAATAAGATCCATGTTTAGTTTAGAAACTGACATTTTTTATATTTTTGTTGGAATCTCACAACATTTAGAAGAAATAATCGAATCCATGATACAAACAGTGGTTAGATCTGTATTACTAGGTGAATCATAGTCATTGGGAACCCATCTTTATCTGCAAAAAATTATTGTTGTATTACTTAGATGTTATCCTTTTAGAGAATTGCCAAGTAACTAAAATGAAGAGTCTGCCTTAAATCCCTCAGACTAATGTATTTCACAAAGTTAAGGACCACCTGATATTTTCATAGTAATTGTACTTAATCTGTCATGGCTTGACAGATTTGGTCTTTCAATTTGAAAGAATGTCATGGATTAATATTTTTAGTTTGAAAGAATGTCATGGTTTGTAGTGTTGGAAATTGGTTAAAATCTAATAATTGATGATTGGTCCATTACAACCGATCAATCATCGAAAATAATTGGTTAGCGTCATTTATCAAATGTTCCTATTATTTTTTTATTCACAAAAAAATAAAGAAAAAAACATGTAGTAATTTGGGTTATTTTGCAAGTTGCATAAAGTCCATTTGCAAATTTTGCATATTTAAATGATGATTAGTATGTTAGGAACACATATTTCCATGATTCTTTAAGATAAATTCAATCATGACTTGGAACGAGCTTGTACATGTAGTGCTTATGAAATGTAAATTTAATGACACAGACAAAACCAGCCTTGTGAAAAATATTGTTAATGCAAACAAGTGTTCCAAGATTGGTTATGTTCGATTATGAGAAAACATGTTCGATTGCTTGGTCGTTTAGTCGCTGCAACCAATCTTCAATTATTTCAATTAAGCGGAGCACCACTAATGGTTCGGATTTGTTTTGAAAGAATGTCATGGCTTGACTGATTAAATATTGTGGTTTAAAAGAGTTGGGTGGTCCTTGACTGTTTTTGTGTACTAAATAAAGACAATGCCTGTACTTGGACACACTGATATCGTTATTTCAGAGCATGGTGTGCGAGATGTTGAAGCGCGCTATGACAAACGCCTTCCTGCCAGTCAGCTGGAGGAGCTGCTCAACAAGCAGTCCTCGGAGAACCCTCTGTGGCTCTCTGTGGCCTGTGAGGAGCTCAGCCTGTTGGATGATGCTGACTTCATCTCACAAACAATTGTGGCACTACCTAATGGCCTTCTTAAGTGAGTTGCGGATGCCATAATTGCATTTCTGACCCAGAAATATCTGTCTCATTTAAATTATATCATGCTTAGGGGTAGTAATTACTAAGATTTACTGAAATTAGTAACAAATTCTTTGTGTTTTCTGTTTTCTGTTTGATAACCCATTAGCATGGTTTGTGGCTCTTCCTTGTATGATTATTTGCAGGAATCGGTGTGAAAAGGGTAGCTGGAATATTGCAATCTCCCCCAAAAAATCTTAATCTTTCAACGTATTAGGGTTGAAATCCACAACTTACATTCCAGTGTTGGGTGCAATTTGGTTGTTAACTGCTAAAAAAAATTCAAAATTTCAAAATCGCCTGCCCTTCCAAACGTAATAAGGGTTGAAATCCACATAGTACATTCCAGTGTTGTATGCAATTTAGTTATTAACTGCTAAAAATTATACAACAATATCAAAATCATCTGATAAGAATTATCCTGCTTTGTCATGTCATATTTTCCCATTACAAACAATGGAGCTTCAGCTGACTGTTACCTGTCCCTTGTATAAATCTGGTGTATGTGTCTCTTTCAGCCTGTTAGAGCATCTACTGACCAGGCTTGAACATGAAAATGGCGGGAATCTGCTGGTGGCCACCTTGTGTCTGCTGGAGGCGTCTGCGGCTGGACTGTTGGAGTGTGAACTCAGGGATATACTTGGAGATGAGGACTCTCTCATGCCGCCTTCACCTTACGATGAGAAAGGTTGGTTCAATTAGATTGGTGTAATGGTCAGTCCCTGTTAAGGTAGAGGGGACACCTGTTGGCTGGGTAGTCAAAACCCTGACAGGTTTCATAACCTCACTATGCAAGAAATAACCAATTGCCATGGCATTCCATGAGATGGCTGACATGCCATAAAATAACCGTCATACCATGCGATAACCGATATGCCATGAGGTAACTGACATGCCATGAGATAATTGATATGTCATGAGATAACTGATATGCCATGAGATAACTGACATGCCATGAGATAATTGATGTGTCATGAGATAACTGATATGTCATGAGATAATTGCCATGCCATGAGATAACCATCATACCATGAGATAACCAATATGCCATAACGTAACTGACATGCCATGAGATAATTGATATATCATGAGATAAATGCCATACCATGAGATAACTGACATGCAATGAGATAGCCATCATACTATGAGATAACTGACATGCCATGAGATAACTGACATGCCATGAGATAAATGACATACCATGAGATAAATCACATGCCATGAGATAACCTAACCTACATGCCATGAGATTACCGACCAGGCATGAGATAACTGACATGTCATGAGATAAATGACATACCATGAGACAACTGACATGCCATAACACTTGGCTGTACAAATTTTGTTTGTTCTAATGAGAAATATTCTTACTGTATGATGGCCAGGCTGTGTCCAGGTGGGGCAAATCAACGATTGATTTTGAGAACAGCAATTAACATGTCGTAACAAACAAGTCATTGAGCCCAACCACTCATCCATTTGGTCACCTCTGACAAGAAGCATATGGGGCTTAAGGTCCAGTTCTTACTCACAGTTAGGGGGCAGTGGGGTAGCCAAGTGGTTAAGGCATTTGCCCGTCATGCCGAAGACTTGGGTTTGATTCCCCAAATGGGTACAATGTGTGAAGCCCATTTCTGGTGTCCCCCACCATGATATTGCTGGAATATTTCTAAAAGCAGCGTAAATAGAGAATCTCACCCAAGTGTCTTCTGATATCAATTATATCAACACGAGTTGATAAAGTTACAAATATCCGAGGCTTGCCTCGGATATTTTTACTTTATCAACGAGTGTTGATATATTTGATATCAGAAGACACGAGGGTGAGATTCTATTTATCATCCAAAATCACTCTTCATTAATTTTCAATGAAAAATGTACATCTCTGAACATGGTACTGCCATTAGACTTGCAGTGCAGCGATGTCATAGCATTGTGACGTCATCAAGTACATGACGTCATAGCATTGTCAGGGCATTGTACAAAATCTACTGTCAAAACGATATCTCCTAGGAGATATCGTTTGATCTCACACAAGCAATATCTCCTGTGGAACACAGTTTTGGATGATAAAACTATACTCACTCACTCTTACTCACAATTTAAAATGACGATCTAGATACAGAAGCAAGGTTTCAAATGTCCCTCGTGTGGTAACGGTCGTAATGTTTGGTCGTCCAGAGGAAAAGGAGTGCTCAGAGAAGGAGAAGGTGAAGCAGAGGGGATCACTGTCAGACAGGAAGTGGATGCGGATCTTCTCCACGTTACGTCCCTTCCTACGTCCCTATGGCGACAGTAAGGAGGGACGTCTTGACTTCTACCACAGAGCTCTCAGCAAGGCAGTCAGGAAAAAGTAAGGTCTCACCATCGTTAATATATGCATTACACTTAACCCACACCTCCAAGCAATTAAATCCTGGTAATCCGCCTGGTACCTTATCCCTTCAATTGTCAAATATCAGATATCCAAATTGACAAAATGCAGGAACTAAATAAAATCTGGTGATATCTATAAAGTTGTTCCAAATGGGTTCAGGAGCTGGAAGAGCAAGGTTGCACTGTGTGTTCCTGATCACACAGGGTATTGAGCACAATTTGCAACAGTTGCCCAGAAGCTGAATATGTATGTCTGACAAGCCTTCAGTGCGCTGACTTTGGTTGCAGGTACTTCCGCAAGGGAGAGGCAGAAGAGCGAGAGGACGTCCCGGTACCGGAGGACGAGGACAACAATGAGGGCAGCTTGGAACGGGAGGAAAAGCCTGACGCCTTCTACTGGTGGCACAAGAAGCTGGCAGACTACTTTGAGACAGTCACGAACACAGACAGGAAAGTTGAGGTAGGCGTCTCCTCACCTTAAGTATCCCGTGGTGTTACATATACTGTTTACCTCTAGGTGTATCCAGGTGTATGTATGGATGACACTATATTGATGTATGCCTTGTTTACCTGTAGGAGTATCCATATCACCTGGTATGTCTGGATGACAAGTACCGCTTGGCTCAGTGTCTGTGTGACTGGGACATTTTCGACCAACTCTACAACGAGGAATACAGTTCTCAGCTCCTTGCCTATTGGAGAAAGGTAAGATTTATAGCATCACAAATCCATTTATTACATAATTTATTTCTACAGGATTCTTATTTTGGGAATTTCATAAAAACCAAAAACAAATGCAGTAGTGATCCGTTGTTGCTTCTTTTCTGACAAACGATTCTAGTGCTGTAACTGCTTTTAATCTCATTCTTTTAAATACCCTAATGGAAGTTATAATGCTATGTAGATGGATTCTTGTAGAAGTATTCCTTAGTCAGTAAGCCCTCTTAGTGTCGTGGTAGTCGAGGCTCATAAACATCAACACAATACATGATTCAGTTTCAAGCCTGGAGGTTTCTTTGTAACTGGTTATCTAACCAGGAAATGAAAGATAAATGTGTTTCAAAATATATCACAAATAGTTGAAAATTGGGTTATATTCTTAAGTAGTCGGCTATCTTATTTCAGGTTGGTCCTTCGGCAGAGATGATCTCTTATTATGAGACCGCCTTGTCCAAGTTTGAGGAGGATGAAACAGTTAATGAGGAATCCGTGTCTATACAGTACGAGAAAGTCTGTAGAGTTGTGTGAGTACTGTGTACTTGTTACATGGCTACCATTCAAAATGATAGCAACAAAAAATGCATGTATGTCCCTGGGTTATCAGATGTACTTGGTAGAATTTACATGCAGCTAATTTCTTGTGTCGTATTTCTGCTGGATTGTTTGACTAAGATATGATTGTAGTGGCAAAGTTACTAACAATGTGTTACCTTGCCAATTGTGATTTCACTACCTACTCAACCGTCCATCACCTCACCCACCCATCTACCTCCTCACTCATCCACCTATTCACCCATCCACCTACCCTCCCACCCATGTATGTACTGATCCACCTATCCACCCACCTATCTACCTACTCATCCACCTACCCTCCCACCCATCTACCTACTCATCCACCTCCACCCTCCCACCCATCCACTTACTCTCATCTACCTACCCTCCCACCCATCTACCTACTCATCTACCTACCCTCCCACCCATCTACCTACTCATGCACCTACCCTCCCACCCACCTGCCCATCTACCTACTCATCCACCACCTGCCACCCATCCCACCTACCCTGCTCCACCTACCCTCCCACCCACCCATCTACCTACTCATCCACCTACCCTCCCACCCACCCACCTGATCCTCATCCACCTACCCTCCCACCCATCTACCTACTCATCCACCTACCCTCCCACCCCACCCTACCCACTACTACCTCATCCACCTACCCTCCCACCCATCTACCTACTCATCCACCTACCCTCCCACCCATCTACCTGCTCATCCACCTACCCACCCACCCATCTACCTACTCATCCACCCAACCCTCCCACCCATCTACCTACTCATCTACCTATTCACCCACCCATCTACCTACTCATCTAACTACTCTACCCATCCACCCATCCACCCACCCACCCACCCATCTACCTACTCATCCACCTACCTTCCCACCCATCTACCTACTCATCCACCTACCATCCCACCCATCTACCTGCTCATCCACCTACCCTCCCACCCATCCACTTACCCACCCTTCTACTTCCACCTACCCACTCCCTCCACCCATCAACTTATCCACCCACCCATCAACTTACTCTCGTCCACCTACTGTCCCACCCAGTTGGCTATCAGTGAGTCATCTACCCTTATCCACCCATCCGTCTCTACCTACTCATCCACCTACCCATCTGTACATCCAACTTCTCACCCACCCATCCTTCCACCCACCCACCTTCTCATCCACCTTCTCATCCACCTACTCACCCACCCGTCTAACTACTTACCCACCCCACCCACTCATCTGCTCACCCATTTACCATATTTGTGCTTTGTAGTACCTACTTGCGTCAGAAACTGTTTGCCTCAAGGATGTCATTGGCTTCAATGAAGTTCAGCAGGCTATTTCTTGATGGTTTTGCTGCAAAACCATCATCATACATATTACAGAGAAAAGTTCCCATGAAATATCTGAAATGACAACCCTTGCTGTGAGTGCATTGTGATGTGAACACTTCTTTACACAACAAGTAGACTAGAAAGTAGAAATATATTGTACTCAATTCCTCTTTCAGAATTCAGGCAGGGAAACACTATGAAGCATTAGAACTGTTAAAGACAGCCATGAAGATAGAGGAAATTGAGCTGGGTGCTCGGCCTCATCGCATGGTTGAACTGTACGCCCTCATGGCTGAGATATATGATGAGGTGAGGTTTGTGGTTGAAGGTAGGAAAAGGAAAGAATTCAGACATTGAAGTGCAATAAGTCGTGATTTTCTGTTGAAGAGCAAGCATGGTGCTTCCTTTTAGCCTTGAAATATGGGATGCAGGCCTTAAACAGGGATCAAATTTGAAAGCTAAAGTTTTGTATAAACCATGGATGCCTATGTAGCCATTACTATTAATCTGCTTATATATGTTTATGTTACATATGGGGCGGTGGGGTAGCCTAGTGGTTAAAGCGTTGGCTCGTCACGCTGAAGACCCGGGTTCGATTCCCCACATGGGCACAATGTGTTAAGCCCATTTCTGGTGTCCCCCGCCGTGATATTGCTGGAATATTGCTAAAAGCGGCGTAAAACTAAACTCAGTCAGTCAGTTATGTTACATATAGTCTAGTTGTCTAATTGCTGTGCAGAGTTGCCTCCCTTGGGCAAGCCTGAATCCTACAATCATTGGTTTGAATCCCTGATTACCCTGGTTAGGTTTCTAGTTTCCTCAGCACCATACCCAACCTTGTGGGTTTCACCAAAATGATGTATGTTGAAGAGCTGTATCTCTCTGGGTTTTCCACCCACATTAAGTTTGCATGCCATGATATAACTAGAATACCCGAAGCACAATTGAATCAAACTCACTCACTGACTGATGTGTGGTGTCCCCCGCCATGATATTGCTGGAATATTGCTAAAAGCGGGGTAAAAGCTAAACTCACTAACTTACTCACTCACTCTCTTATTTTTCCGTGTGTTTATAGAAACTGAAGCTGAATGACTTTGTATCTCCAAGTCAACTACCTGACCTCAGGAAAACCATATACTATGGGCGCAAGTCCATCACAATACGAAAAACACTACCTGGAACATATCATAAGGTGAGACCTCTTGTCAGTGGAAAAGGAGGATTATGTAAAGCACCTCTAGTTACTCTTGAACCAACTGTCTACAGATTCCCAAACTAAAACTTGCAGATCCAGGTTTGGAAGATGGGCAGGGCAAATAATGCCAGACTGTCTGACTACCATATCTTCTCATTTACAGTGCACACTTCTTTTGAAAAGAAACACAGCTGTGTGGATGACCTTAGAAGGGATATGATGTAGTTTTCTGTCTGCATATAATCCTCAAAATATTCTTTAAAAAATGATGAATCCTTAGAGGGAGGTACGCATTGTTTGCACTATACTCAAGAAAATCCATTTGTCATCCTAAATATGGGATGTGAAGACAAACTGGGAGATACGATACTGAATTTTAACCTCTCTCTGTTTAATTCTTAGTTCAAGCTATCGATGAGTCTCATGAAGCTGGCTTTCAACATGGAGAGCTGGGAAGCATGTGGTGGTGGACCTGAGTTGACAGGGAGTGAAGCACTGGCGGAGGGCAACAAGTACATTGACAAGGCGCTCAAGATATTCCAGGAGCTCAATGACATGGGTCATTATGCGGAGGCCTTGATGACAAAGGGTGTGCTGGCACCGAGAGGCAGCATGGAACAGCTCAAGGTTCGTCGTAACTTTCTTCCAAGGAGGCTTGTGTTTGTGCTTCTCTTGTATATTCTTTTGTGATACTAAAACTCAAGTTGGTCACTGAGAAGTGAAGTCATGGAACTGTTGTCCTGACAACATATGAAAGATCGCTGCGAATAGCTGCAAAAATTGCTGATACAGCATTAAGCAATACTCACTCACATATGAAAGATATAGTAATCTGCTGGATACCAGTTGCAACAAGGGTGATGGATGGATAGGTAGGTTTGTGGGTCAGTGGGTGAGTATTGGATCAGTGGGTTTGGGTGGATGGATGGTGGGGTGGATGGATGTTGTTTTGGATGGCTGGGACAGACAGATGGATGGACATGCCAAGAATAGAGGTGTAAGGGTCAAGACATATAAAGACAATTTCATGTGACTGTGCAAAATTTGGTTTTGTTGCAATTATTAGATTTTGCGTTAGTGAGCAATTCATCGGTTTCAAATGAAATTAAATGGACTGTACTTGATTTGTCTGGGTTTTTACTGGACCTCAACTGGTAATTTGTTAGTTAGGGCTGTTATTGAGGGCTGATAATTTGTGTTCCAGCTGTACAACCAGGCGATGGACCTGTGCATGCAGATGTACGGAGAGTTCCACATCCTTACCTCACGCCTCTACATCAACATCGGCATTGTGTATGAGGACAATAACGATTACAAGAAAGCCTACGAATACTTCAAGAAATGGGCGCGTGTCAGTGAGGAGATTCTTGGACCTGATCACCCAAAAACGTTACGAGCCAAAGGCGTACTACGAGAATCTCGGTACAAGCGTATAGCGCAGGAACTTGGTGAATGGGATGCTGAGGAACCTGAGCAGGATGGCATGGCAGACATTGAGGAGGAAGAAGAAGAAAATCCTGACACAGAACATAATTATGATGACACGGTCGGGCAGGTGGAGCTTGTTGTGAGCCGTGAAGATCTTCCATTGGACAGTTTTGTGGACAATGTTGCGAATGGTGAGGCCATTCATATCGCAGCGGAGTCTGGATTGAATGTTCTTGCTGAGGTGGATTCAGATGATAATAACGAGCTGTTGATGAACGGATATTTCGATGGAGAGGATCGGGAATCCATCAATGAGGAACACACAGACAGTGAGAATTTTTATGATGACAATTTTGAGGACTATGATGAGCAGTACATACTGCATGTGGATAATGGGCCTGTGATTGAAGAATTCAATGTTCATCTCGGGGATGACGATGATGATAACGACATTGTAGAACTTGCGTCACGGGAAATAGATGACTGTGACAACCGGTACGCGAGTGACGGGCGAGAAGATGATGATGATGTTGGACTGCACCATAGATACAACAGGTCCTGAAACGAGAGGTTGATAGGTAGAAAGGGTGTATTGTATGATATATAACTTTTTTTCTACCTGTATGTTTAATGAGGAGTCCTTGAATAATGTAATAATGCTATGTGTTATTTTAAACCCTGTGTTATGGATAATAATTATTACAAGCCTCATACCCAGCTTAAAAATGTTACTGCTTTCAGCTATACACTAAATTGGATTGATCTATCAGGAATACTCATCACAGCATTTCAGGAGACGAGGGGCGGTGGGGTAGCCTAGTGGTTAAAGCATCCGCTCATCACTCAAAAGCCTGGGTTCGATTCCCCACATGGGTTCAATGTGTGAATCCCATTTCTGCTGTCCGCTCCTGGAATATTGTTAAAAACGGCGTAAAACCATAATCATTCATTCACTCACTCACTCACTCACTCAGGAGACGAACCAGCGTTGAAGTTTAATCCTCACTTAAAAATAACCCTTAATGTTCTCTATATGTCTTTTTAAGAGAAAGTCATTATAGAACAACAACCATGACATTAGAATATGTATATATACTTTAATGTTTGTTACCTTTAGAAAAATAGACAACACTTCACATGAACACAAGTAAGAAGTTTACAGGTTGTATTGTTTTAAAGAGTGAATGTTAATATTTTGGTAGAATGGTTCTATTTATCACAAGCATTTTGTTAACTTTAATAACTGCCAATTATTTCTGAGATTATTGCACCTGTTGCATTTTTTGTTTAGGAAGTGGATGTTTTCTTTGACAGGGAATAAGTTCTGGGGACACCCTTGGTTGAAAATCCTTTTGGGAGTACTATTACCACTTCCAGTATATCAAAGGAAATATGAAATTGATAGTGATATAAGAAAGGCATGGATGCAAGCAACCCTACACATTTTATGTAATATTTGATGTATACTTTGAAATTTTTCAAGATGACAATATGCTAGATTTGTGTTACAAGCATCATGACCTGTATATCACACTGAAGGTGGGTGGCCTCTTGTAAACTGTAATGTACTTTGAAATTTTAAGATACAGTTCAGAGACAGAAGTTTGAAAGATATGAGCATTCAATGCTTACTTGTTGATATCATTTTCAAGTAAACAATATGTTCTTGAATGTTTGTTGCTGGTAGATAAAATAGACTTTGCTTGACTTGAACACAAATAGGAAGTTACTGGTTTGTATTTAAACATGTGAACATCAAAATTTTGTCTCTCACTTATCACAAGCTATTTGTTATGTTTCATAACTGCCATTTATTTCTGAGATTATTGCACCTGTTCTGTATTTTGTTTAGGAAGTTGATGTTCTATTTGCCAGATAAAGTGTAAAAGTTACCAGGTATTGCATACTTTAATATTAAATAATATTCAATAATACACATCATTAGATGTTATCCATTTGCTATATTGTAATCTTATAAGTATGACACCAATCATTATTGATGTTTGTTCCTGGATTTCATAAATAAAAAAATTAAATACTCGCAATGATTATGATACCATGGATTTAATGGTGATATGTTTGGTTCTAAGGAGGGGTGCCATGAAAAGGTAATTCAGTGCTTCTCATGAAATATAATGGTTAAGTAAACCTTGATGATTTGAAGCGCCTGATTTATTAAACCTTTTATCCTAGTTTCAGAACATATTGCATCCATATTATTTTAATACTGGATTATGTCCCCTTCATGTATTGTTGGGTATTAGTAATCTTTCTTGAACTTTCCCAGCTTGTATGCAACTTTGAGGATGTATAGAATACAGGGCATGTTGTGTTGGAGTTGGAAGAGCCCCTTTAAGGTTGAAGAACATTGCTTCAGTAAATAATAATATGTGTAGATTTGTAGTATGTATGACTATGAAGAGATTACTTTTGTATTTAAAGTGATTGTTTTATTTAGTACTGTGTTTTGTGTGCCAAATATAATGTATCAAAGAATTTCTGGAAATGTGTCATTTTTGTGGCGATCTAGAATACAGCTGATTTGTGTTAATGACTGAAAAAATCACTTGAAAAGGGTTACAGCTATTGATTTACTACAGAAGTTGCAGCCCAGAATGCAAAACAGTATATTTGAGGTTATTTATAACTTCTTGATGTGCATGGTTAAAGACAGCATCATATTTCTGCTATCATACAAAAGGTGTAACTTCAGCCCTTGGGCAGTACGTTCTTGGACTCTCTAAAAGAGAAAATTTTGCTTTGTGTGCTTATTTATCGTATGTTATATTTGGGATTACACATTGTTAGAAAAGTACGGATTCTAGTACTTTTGTTGGGTCGAGTCCCATCTGGAATTCGAACCCACACCCTCAAAGCATGGCTGAGCGGGTTAGGTGGCTGACTTTGTGTGCTGGCGATTAGGTGCCTCACTCTGAGAGTGTGGGTTCGATTCACGGATGGGACACGACCCAACTAAAGTACTAGAATCTTAACTTTACTAAGAAAGTGTAATCCCAAATATAACATACGTTACATTTGACCACTTTCTAAAAGGCATTGTGTAATCATCCTTTTTTATCAACCATCAATGCTTTTTTTTTTGGTCAATCTGTTTTTATTTATGGCCAGATATTATTTTGGTAGGAGTTGTGTTTATTTAACTGAATCAGATATTATGGGGGTTATGAAGCTGACTAGTGGAGTTAGTTGTATGGGTAGAGCAGAGGCCTTTTTATATCTGTAATGGAATTGATTTCTGTTTATCAGGGTATGTTTTGTAAGGCAGGCATGACAATAATCCTCATCATTATCCTTTTTATTGATTGTAATTTTGACATTTTAAAAAGCACCTGTAATTGTCATATATTTCAGACTCTCTTGTGCCAAATTTGCAATGTTTTGGAAATCATAGAAATACCCTACTTTAGAAGCAGACACTCCTAACAGTAAAATCAGTTAACAATTTCATTATACCAATAAGTACTTCATAATCATTTGGTGGGGCGGTGGGGTAGCCTAATGGTTAAAGCGATGGCTCGTCACGCCGAAGACCCGGGTTCGAATCCTCATATGGGTACAGTGTGTGAAGCCCATTTCTGGTGTCCCCCGAGTGATGTTGCAGGAATATTGCTAAAAGCGGCGTAAAACCAAACTCAGTCAGTCATTATAATTTGGTGAAATTTTAAAGAGGAGTAGGGCTTATAGAATTAGGAACAAATGGACTTCTGTTTTATTACATATAGTGAAGTATAGCTAAGGGTCTATTAAGAAAGCAGGGTCACGCTTTGTATTGGCTGTCAAATCTCTGCAGATATCAATATTCCAGATTATAGTATTCTTATAGAATTGGATTTATTTTGTCCAAAATGCCCCCTGAAATACTGTCTGTGTGATGATCCACAATTCCACTGTAAGTGGACAATGAATATTTAGCGAATCAGTGTAGATTTTTCAAAAGTGAGTGCTGCATTAAGACCAGAATATCTGATTCATGTCCAAAAAGAGCTATCTTTAAATTGAGTTTTGTGTTGGAGTAAACTATCTGATTCTGGTGAGATTTACATTACTGTTTCAATAAGCTGTATGGTAAATGTCTCAATGAAGGCCACATCAAATTATTTTTTAACTTTTTATTTTCTCTTGATCATTTTGATCCAAGTGAAATCAACACTTGTTCATTTGAAAAATGGCAACTTTTATGTCTCGTGCTTCCACTGCAAAGCATTTCAGCTTTGTCAATTTAATCTAAGGCTATGATATTATTGAGATAAATGTTTTGAATATGTACTGTTAAAAACAATCCATCTCACCAAATATTGAACTACTATCAAAATGAAATATATCAAATTGGAGAAAAATAATATAATTACCAGACAGTGATGTATAGCTGGTTAGAAATGGTTTTGTTGTCATATATGGTAAATGTCCATTCATATGATCAATGTTTGTGTGCAGTGAAACATATCAGAATATCATATCACTAAAAGTTATCTCTTTGGTAATTATATTTAAAGGGGTGTTTTTCAATTCCCAATCTGCCTACAGTTAAGATTATACCCAAAATGGACTGTAGGCAAGATGAACTGTAGGTACATTGGTACCAAACGGGGGAGATTGCATGAGGTGATCTTAGCACTAAGTCTCATAGTTACATTGACTTTCAACAGGATAGATGATAATTCATACTAAACATAGACCAGCCGGGATACTCAGTCAGTACTTCATAGTTTAGTAAGACTTCTGATCATTCGAGCCACTTAAATGAATAAAGTTTTCTGTTATTTATTTTAGTCAAGAACAAATAGTATCGGTATAATAATAGCAATATGATAGTGAATTACAGTAAATTACTGGTATGTGTATAATGTACATGCTTGTAACAAACTCACAGATGTAATGAACTATTTCTTTTTAATTTTGTCCGGGGCACTGCCTCTATGTTTTAGTCAAAATGTGTACAATAGACTGTGGTTATTATGAACTAAAATTAATTGTCTCTTTGAGTTTGTTATAACCAATTTTTTCTGTAGTTATGAATCAAATGATTCCCTAACTCTGTCTGCTAAAAAATGGCAGGAATGATCGGATTTCTTTCCCAAGGTTTGCATGCAAACACTGTTCCTCCATTCTCTGGTACTGACAACAGCAATGCTGTGTTGTAGTGATATGTGCGAGAACATTGTGTGGAGCTCACCATCAACTGACATAGGGCAGAGTTGCAAGGGTATGGCACATGTTGTCATGCAAGAAATGTTGCCGTTTAGTGCAGTGTAATCTGAGCTCTCCTTGCTGGAGGCACTTGCTGGCTTCCCTATATCACCCACCAGCCATGCTTTCATTAGGCCAGACCAATTTTATTTCTTGTTTTATGGATTTTTGTCCTCAGAAAACCTAAAGGCAGGAGGGAAAAAAAATAAAATAAAATCACCAGTCAAAGTAATATTCCTTCTAAATACTCAAAGTATTTTACTTTTGGCAATTTATGAAGTGTATATGGGGCAAAAACATCTAAAAAACATTTTTCTTGTAAGTTTACATTTTTGGCCACATAGTCACATGGATAGACAGGGGAACGTGCTGCACGCTTAGCCGGGGACTAGGGACCTGTCCTATAAGGAGAGCAGCCTGGGGAACATGGGCCTATGGACAAGAGAGGCCTACAGGAAAAGTTCTCATTCGTTCCACTCAACATCGAAGCAAGAGAGAGAAGTGCAAATCGTGAGATAGGATAAGTTTAAAAATTTATCCTATTGTTTAGAATATAACAATGTCAGGCGAGTGATGGTGGAACGGTTCATAATTACATCTTTACAATACAGAAATCCAAATTTTTTACCTAAGCCCAAAAATATTCAAAACTAACAATCTT